GCATATAGAAAGCTAATGTTAATACATGGATTGGATGAGACAATTTTATTTTAATTGAATTAGAAGATGGACTTAAAAGAGTAAAAAAAAAAATTAGGCAAAAAAGAGGTACGTTTGATTAAGGGAAAGATGGTAAAATATATATAAAAATGAGAATTTTTTTTATAAAAGTTTATGGGTGATTTGATTGATATAAATGATAAAATAAATATTTTAATAAAAAATAAAAATAATTAAATTATGATTAAATAAAAATTAGTATTATTATTAATATAATTTAAAATATTATAATTATTTTACTTATTTTTATTTTTATTATTAATGTGATTATTATAAATTTTATTATTAAAATAATAATAATTATTATTTGTATGTTATATATAATCTAATGTAAATTTACCATCAATTTCTTCTCATCAATGAGTAGAAGTTTTTTTTGTTGAAAATTGCAAATTTGTTACTTTGAAAGATGAACTTTCTCTACAAATAAATAATTTCTATCATTTAATCCAATCATAAGTTAATAGAACATGTTCGCCATACAATTTTATTTTAATATTTTTACTCTTGGAAAAGTGATGAAAGTACTTTTAAAAGAAGACGAATTAGTTTAATTTATAGTTAAATTTATTTTTTTATTTTATTTTATGAAGTGTGTTTTTGGTCCATTACAATTTTTGTTTTGTCAAAATAATTTCAGTTTCTAAATTTTAAAAATAATACTTCTGGACATTATATTTTTTAAATCGGCCAAAATCAATACTCTGCTTTATGTTTATTAGTTTTGTTTATGATGTAGCCAACGACTATTATGCGTGACATGCTAAGTACATAACATTATCATGTAATATCGAAGAGTATTAAAAATTTATCTTAATATGAAAAAAGTACCTTTTTATGGATTATATTTTTAAATACTATATTATAACTTATAATTTAAAAAACAAATGTTATGCTTAAGATTTGATAGTTTTGATCTGATTTTAATATATTTATGTGCGAAGATTTTTGTCCCACGTAAAAAAAATAGTTCATAAAAAACAAAACAAAAAACAAGGTTGAATAAAGAAACACAAAACTAAAACAATTGTAATTTTTTTCAAAAAACTTAGTCATTATAACGTGCTCCAGGCATCCAATTGATACAAGAAGGCTCTATGTTCAATTTCATTTCAGAAAAGAAAAGAAAAAGTTTAGAAAAATGAAAATAATCCAACGGTATTATAAATAGCACTAGAAAGCCGTTGTACATTTGGAAGCAAAATTGAGTGAGAGCATCAGAAAAACTGTTTTAACGTAGTGAAGTGTTTGTGTGATCGAAAGTGATTATTTGTAAACGTCAAGAAGGGAAAAATATCTTGATTAAAGAAAGTGATTTCTTTTTGAGATGTTTGATTAAAAAAAGCGTGAGTGTGAAGAGTGACGAGGTTGGTGTCCCTTTATAATGGTTGGAATTATTTGAATCTGGTGAAGTTGGAGCAGCAAGACGACGATGATATTTGATGGACATTATGTCCACTACAATCAGAGGACTCCATATTATGTCATGTCTGATGTCACTCATCGCTGCTCACAAATACACTGATTTGGGTTAACAAATAGTTGGAGTTGGACGATAAGATAAGCGATTCAACGCTGAAGGAAAAACATTTGTGTTAACAAGTTATGTTTTATTAGATTTTGCGTAAAAATTAAGAAATGACATTTTAGGTTTGCTATCAAGGTTCGTGGTTTTGGGAAAAAATAAATATTTAACATAAAATAATAATTTTAATTAATTTTATTTTAAATCAATTATTTTATGAATATAATATTAATAAATAAAATTATATGTTTTTATTTTGTTGTGATGAGAAAATATCAACAGTTATGAAAACTAATCTTGATATAAAACCAAGAGTAAGAACGGTGAATTTTGACATTCATTTATAAAATATATCTATTAAACAATCTTATTTATTAATATTATATTTATAAAGTTATTAAATTAAAATAAAAATTATTATTTTATTAATAAATCAAGTTGTTAATGGGGGTGTAGAAAAATTGGATTGTGAGTGGATATTTTCTAAAGGTAACTGAGTCGGCATTTCTACTCCGAATTGTTTATTGTCAACACTTTTGGGATTGACAACTCCAGACACTTAGTTAGCAAGACAGAGTCCAAGAATATTTGAATCTATACGGCCATGTAATTGGGCCTCGATCCAACAAATTGGACCGTTAATTTTTTTGTGTGTGCGTGATGCAGGATCAACATATGGGCTTTCTCAGCCTCGTTCAAATTGACAGTGGGCTATCTTGTTGTTGGGTTTATTGGAAACTCTCATTTGGAAAGAAATGTATTACCTGACATAAACAGGTCACTCTGACAAGAAAAGTTAATAATATATTTGCCGGTATTTTTTATTAGTTAATATTCAATTATAATTCCTTTTAAGAAAAAAAGAAGAAGGTTAGAGTAAATTACTAAGTGAGGCCTATATAAAATTTCATTCAATAATATTTTTGAAAAACCTATATATATGATAATTGTATCACTGTTTTCATGTGAGTTATAGCTTTTAAAACTAATTATTTATATATTGATTATGTTTATTAAACTATCTTTAACTATTTTATTTCCATATCTAATAAACTAATTATTTTCTTTCTTATTTGTAAGTCTCAAGTTAGAAGTGATGTTGGTTTCTTTTTATAAGTCTCAATTTAAACGTCCATTGTAATAATTACTTTTAAACTAAAATATATTCACAAACATTCATAACAAAGATTATTAATGAGAAAAGGTATTTTGAAAAATCAAAATTAGGGCAAAATTATTTTTTATGAATTAAATTAATTATTTTTATTAATTATAATAAATTGGGTAATTGAGTCTTCTAAATAAAGATGAACTGTCTTTCTCTCTCTGATTATAAAATTAAAGAGTCTAATTTCAAAAATTCCTTAATATTAACTTTCTACGTACATTATTTTTTTCTTTTTGTAATATTTTAGAAATATATCAAAATTTGGATAAAGTTAAGGATATTAATTAAATGAATAAATCAGTTTTTATTTATATATTTTATAATTTGATTAATTAGTCCTAAATTAAAAAACATGTCATTTTTTTCGTAATTTTTTTTATTAAATATTAAATTTGGACATTAAGGTTTATTAAAATTCTAAATTATGTAAATCTAACTTTTGAATCAATTTTGCAACGATATCATTATGTTAAAATAATTTAAATAAAGTATTTTTTAAAGTTGAAAGTATAAACGTAAAAGATAAAATTGAAAAATTTGTATATGAAGTAACTTTTTTTCCTTAATTAATTTAGTTAGTTTTTTAAAAATTGTGGATTAATTATAACTTTGTAAACCTTTTATATTTGGGAAAGTAAAACGTGGACATTTTTTTTTCACGGCCGGTGATTTGGTGTGGAAAGACTTGAGGTCAACTCTCCCGATATTTATAATCTCCAACGACCAAATGAAATCAAGCGTCTGCATTGTGGAGAGTACCGACCGCATTTAACGTAGCTAAGCGTAATAACCGGGTAACTTTCCAGGAAAATAATGTGTCAGTGTCGCTCTTTGCACTCATCAACTTTTCAAACCATATTAGTTCATAGAATTATTGAAAAATGCAACTTTCTTATTACTTTCCTAAAACCATTGACTTGCTCAACTCTTCTCTCCTTATGTGTCTTCGGTGCCGGATGCCAATAGAAAGAACCCATTAAATATCAACTTTGCTTCTCACTTATATGAGCATGAGGTATGTATTCCACCACTCTTTTTTCTTATTGTTGCTGCTACTAATAAATATTCCTTGAGAGGTTATAACTTATAATTGACTTCCAGGTCCTTACTTCAAACATGGGTCTTTTATATATGTCTAGATTTCTTTGATATATTTGTTACCCCTTTTCCCCCTCTTCGTTTTATTTATGCATCTTGAAATTTAGACGCCATTGTCCTCGGCATGTTAGAATTATGGTTGCTGCAGCTTAAGTACAACTTTCTAGTTTGTATTTTTATATCAGGGATTATTTTACTGTTCTTAAGTTGTCTGTGGTTGGGAGAAGTTAAAAGTGAAATGAGAGAACATTACTACGTGTAAAGTAAACTACGGATTTTGAGAGCAATGGCACCTCTTCGTCTCATAATTTTAGTTTTACATTAGGTATGACTCAGTTTTCATGCTGGAGAAATAAAGATAAAATCATGGCAGTTATGATGAAATTGATTTTATCCTAATTACAAGAAATTCTGAGAATCTGCTCTATTCCTTAATTTTTCTGGAATATGTTGACAGCTTGTATCTTGGTATATTAACTCCCTGATCGCTGTAGATATTGCCATGGTCTTGTAATTTTTGTGAAATTGTTTGTTTATGTTGATAACTTGCATTTCCATCAATCAATTCCCTTATTGAGGCATTCGATATCTCTTGGACCACTTGGTTGTTGATTCTAAAGCCTTAACCAAAACGAGAGAAACATTATGTAGCCCAATATTATGAGTTACGTACCCAAGCCAAGCAATTTACTTGTGATTTATGTTTGTATTCCCCAGCAGATGGGATTAAAATTTATTTCCACAGTTTTTGTAAACACAAATCACTATTTTCGATCAATTTCACATGTAGAAGTTTGAATTGAATATAATTGTTCGTTTTTTTTTTTTTCATTTTCCAATCTACTAACGAGTTAAAATCAATATATTCTTAATATGTTGAGCTTGAGCATGATGTTTATTGTATAGAGAATGATCTAGATAGTTGAATTAATGTTCATTTAGTCAATATCCTTTTGTTCTCTCTGTTAAATGGACTGTTCGAGAATTAATTTAGAAACATTTTGTGCTTTATAAGAGGATTGATTTAGAGGAATTTGATTCCAGGGAAAAGGAGATGCAATTTGCAGGTTCAGTTGTTTCGACTTCCTGACAATGGAAAGAGTTCAGTTTAAACTGTTTGAGTAGAGAATTCAGTATAGAATTTTCAACATGGTTGGGTTGGAGCTCGTTCCCATAGGTACAATTTTGACAGTGGTAACTAACCAAGTTTTGAAAACAGCTCAGGCAGCATCTGATGTTCTTATTGGTAAAGAAAGTTTCAAGGCCCTTTCAAAACATCTATTTGATATTGAGCCAGTGCTAAAGGAATTGCAGCTTCAAGAATTGAATGACTCTCAAGCCGCAAGGGTTGCTCTTGAGTCTCTTGAAGCAGATGTTAAGAAGGCAAATAATTTGGTGGATAAGTATAAGAACCGTGGCCGTTTTTACTTACTGATTAAGTGTCGATCCATAGTTGAGGAGGTTGAACAAGTCACAAGGGATATTGGCAAGTCTCTGGCTGCACTGTCTATTGCAAATGCTGAAGTCCTATCAAGAATTTCTGATCAGGTCAATAGATTGCAAAATGAGATGCAAAGGGTGGAGTTTGAGGCTTCCCAGTCTCAGATTCAAATTGTTGACAAGTTGAACCAGGCACTTAAAGAACAGAAACTAGATCAGGCTTTTGCAAATGACATGCTAGAAGAGATAGCAAGTGCAGTTGGGGTGCCAGTGGAACCCTCAGAGATAAGCAAAGAGTTGGCCAGCATTAGGAAGGAAAAAAAAGAAGCTTCTGAACGGAAAGAAAGAGCTGAATGTGTTCTGTTGGATCAGATCATTCAGTTACTCTCTCGAGCTGATGCAGCAAGGGATTATCAAGAAGTGGAGAGGCGATACTTTGAAAGGGTTAAGGCGATAGAGAATTCAAGGGAAAAATATATCCCCCCATTCAATCCTTTCCTTTGTTCTATAACTGGAGCTGTTATGGAAGATCCTGTCAGCCTTTGCACTGGTACTACATGTGAGAGACATGCTATTGAGGCTTGGTTTTACGATGGCAACAGGAAAGATCCAGAAACTGAACAGGTTCTTGAAGATACTACCTTGAGGTCTAACATTCCTTTAAGACAATCTATTGAAGAGTGGAGAGAACTTAATTATTGTCTGAAAATAAGGTCTATCAGGGAAAATTTATTATCATATTCTGACCTTCAAGAATCCATGACCCAAATGCAGGCTCTCGTAAGAGAGAATTCTATTAACAAGGATTGGATTTCTATAGGAGAGCTTACTGATATTGTTATCTCTATCCTTGGGAGCTCTAATGAGGAAGAAGTGAAGATGAAGATTTTGATAACTTTGAAGGATGCTGTAGAGGGGAATACAAGAAACAAGGTAGGCAAGCTGTTTCTTTTTCTTGCTTCAGTCAAATCACACTTCCTTGAGGATTTGCAATTTATGATTTAAAGGGACGAATAGGAGAAGCATAGATACAACAAAAGTGAGAATATAGTTTCTTGATTATGATGTTGCTTGTATCTTTTTGTTCTTAAAAGGTTATATGATGCTTTTATGGTTCATTGATTTCATTTCATTTTGAAGTTTCTCTCACTTCTTTTTAGGAAGTGAACCAACTTACTTTTGAAAAATATAATTTAAAATATATTCATTCTCTAATATAAAATAGAATATATATATATATATATATATAATCTATTTTTAAGATACAAAGTTCTACAAGTACATGTACCTAATTAGGTTATTAGGACAGTAGAATATTTTACAAAATTATATTAATCCTAATCAAATAATAGAATCTGTAAAGATATTTTGCAAAGAGAATAAAAGAAAAATGTAAATCTTAACAAGTTTTACCATTGAGATAGTCCGAATTCCTTTTAATTGCTACACTAAGATCATACGTGCAATCTAAAGATTAATTTAAATTCAACACTTTCATTAAATTTTATAGGAGAAAGTGGCTGAATCTCAAGGATGGGATCACATTGTTTCCTGCTTAGGGAGTGACTCTAGCATTTCAAAGGCAGCAATTGATCTGCTATACGAACTGCTTCAAGAACAATCTGGTTGGAATCAATGTCTCTGTAAAAAGCTTTCTGATAATCACACTGCAGTTTGCTCTCTTGTTGCCCTTTTAAAAAATGTTGCCAACCATTCTGCTGAGGTAGCAGAAAAGATTTTAATGAAGCTTTTTGAACTAAACGAGGAAACCATTACTATTGCTGCTAATTTTGGCTGGTATAAACCACTTGTTGATCGCATGATTGAAGGTAACGAAATACAGAATTTTCCTATGTTGTTTACTAGTATGCTTTAAGTTCTTTTGTTGAAGAGAAAAATGAAATGGAGGATTACTAAAACTTCATAAAATTTATCATCCATGACCAAATTGACTTGCTAGATATCGCATGGTAAATGTTCATATACTTTCGTAAATTTATGCTGCATAATAATTCATCTTTTTTGTCGTGGACAAAGCCAAATCAGGATAGTCTTTTTCGTTTAGTTTGTATCCTATTGATATTTGTTGCACTGGTACCTTTAAAGCTGTTGGGCCTGACTGATTTGCAATCCTTTTTGACTGAAAGAGCACGGCGTATATAACTAGTAAGTTGATCATAATGAGTTATTTGTTCCTCCTTCTTCTCAGGACCGGATTCAAGAATAACATTGGCAAAAACCATAGTTAATTTGGAGTTGAATGATGAAAACTTGAAACTCCTTGGCGAGGAAGGAGTTATACCTCCTTTGCTAGAAATGTTGTCGGGAAGCATTGAATCAAAAGACTTGTCATTGTTCGCCCTGGTTAAATTAGCAGGATCTCATGCTAATAAAGGAATTATTGCTGCATCTGGAGGAGTTCCTCTTATTCTAGATCTAATGTTCTCCCCTCGGACACGGACATTCATTATCATTAAATGCACTGAAATCATTGAGAAGCTTTCTTCAGATGGTGATGGAATTGATTTCTTTGTTGATGGAGATGGGAAACAACTTGAGTTAGATTCCATCATCACCAATGTGCTAGCTTTGCAGCAGAGTTCCAACTTAGGTCCCAACATCCGTAAGCCTGCACTGCGTGCACTTCTTGGCATTTGCAAGTTTGAGACTGGTTTGGTTAAGAAAGCAATTCTTGCAGCTAATGGTGTATCTCTAATTCTTCCACTTCTTGATGATCCCGACTCAGAAATCAGGGAGACTTCCATAATTCTGCTCTTTTTATTCTCTCAACACGAGCCAGAAGGAGTAGTTGAATACCTCTTCAGGCCTAGAAGGCTGGAAGCTTTGATCGGGTTTCTAGAGAATGAGAATGATAATGTACAGATGGCTGCCGCTGGTTTACTTGCTAACCTGCCAAAATCAGAACGAGAACTCACTATGAAATTGATAGAGCTGGGTGGACTTAATGCAATCATAAGCATTTTGAAAACTGGCAAAATGGAAGCAAAAGAAAATGCTCTCAGTGCACTCTTCAGGTTCACAGACCCTACAAATATTGAGTCTCAGCGAGATTTGGTTAAACACGGAATATATCCTTTGCTTGTAGATTTTCTCAACACTGGTTCGGTCACAGCAAAGGCAAGAGCAGCAGCTTTCATTGGTGATCTTTCTATGAGCACTCCAAAGCTAACAGTTGTTCCCAAACCAACGGGTTGCTGGCTTTGCAGATCATCACGTGTTCCTTTGTGTCCAGCACACGGGAGTATATGCAGTGTGAACAACACATTTTGTCTTTTGGAAGCTAAGGCCTTACCGGGTTTGATAAAGCTGTTACATGGGGAGGTTCATGCAACTGCTTGTGAAGCAATACAGACACTTTCCACATTGGTTTTGGAAGACTTTCCTCAAGGGGGAGCTCTTGTCTTGCATGACAATAATGCAATAAGATCCATATTGGACATTTTGAACTGGGGAACTGATTCTCTCAAGGCAGAAGCTCTAGGACTGTTGGAGAAGGTGTTTGTGTCAAAGGAAATGGTAGAATACTACGGAACAACAGCTAGATCACGTCTAATTGGTTTGACTGGCATGAATATATACGGAGATGGTCACCTCAGGAGAAAGGCTGCTAAGGTACTATCATTGCTTGAACGCTATTCAAAGTCATCATCATCTGCAATCTCAGGAGTTCTGGAGGGAAATTAGTCCTTTACAGTAATCATTTGCTTCATCTCTGTTCTAATTGACTTTCTTAATCTGTTGGGTACATGCAAATTGTATAGATGCGTGTCCCCCATTTTAAATGGCTAGTTCTTCAATATGAAGCTCCTCTTTAAAAATTCACACAAATTCTTAGTATTTTCTTTTTGTTGGGTACTAGCGTTTTCTTTTTGAGTAGACAGTGTAAAGTTCACATTTTCTTGGATTGGGATACTAGCTAATCCTTTGTTTTATTTTTGTATGTAATGACATGTGTTGAAACCTTTTAAGCTATCCTCTAATTAAAATGTCATATAATCAAAAGTTTATCAACTTTTATCGTCATAATAGAAGTCATATAGACTAATAATGTACTTTTACAATGTTAGTACATAAAAATTGCTTAAAATCCAATGTACATTACTACTGTTAAAGTGAATAAGGAGAGCTTTTGCGCAAATTGTAAAATGTAATTAAATCGCCAAGCCTTTAAAAGTGAAACTCATTAATTGTTGTATCTTGCTAGATGCCAGTTATGAAAACGTGTGTGCCAACTACCTTGTTTTTTCTGTTATTATCATCATTTGATTGACATGGGACCATGCCCCTACTTACTTACGTAGTCCGTGGGAAAAGGGAGGATGCTATAACTTGGTAAACCAAATCTCACAAAAGAGGCATTAATACAATTAAAATTTAATAGTTGATGTGACATGTTGACCAGAGTTAATACCACAAAGGTAGTGAAAAGTGAAAGATGTGTCTCAGATTAATTCTCTTTCCAGTAGGCCAAAACCGTGGTGGACGATGAAGTAGAGCATTTTGTGGATCAACACTTGGACTTGGTAAGGTAAGATGGTGGTCCAAGGCTACATGAAACAGTAAGATGCTTTCAAAGTTCCAATCATTCGTATAAAACACTAACAAAAACACTTCCCTTGATACAATATGAAAGATCAACGTGACAGACCAAATTTCAATTTTATCAGCTAACAGTACTTCATAGATTGTAAGTTATACATCGTGTCAAGTTTCATTACATTTCACATTGATAATGGTGTGACCGGGTCTCTCCCAACACCAACGCGTTGTGCTTTACAGTGGAAATTTAATGAACTTAGATGAGACACGAATCATTTTTATGGCTTTTTCACTTTCAATTTATTAATGCAGAAATCTTGTTGGAGCCTTTCGTCTTTTTGTTTCTGATTACTAGTAGTTTATATATGCAGCCCACTAAGATGTCTACCTTTAACTTGTCAATTTGACATGTTTAAACGGATATGAAATCATTAATGTATAAATAAATGATATTATACGGAGAGAGGTAAGAAGCTCGTAGAGAACATGATAACAAACTCACATCTTACAAATAAAGATAAACTTGAATTGAAAAACATAGAACTCATTCTATATTTTATTCATATTATTTTTATTTATGTTATTTTTTTACACATATACTATGATCTTATAGTATTTTACTCTAACAAATCAAGACTAAATATAGAAAGTTCTGATTATACAATATTTTGTATCGCTATATAAACTTATAATTTAGCCAATCAAATATCTTTATCCCAACACTCCCCTTCAAGTTGGTAAATGGATGTCATGCATTCTCAACTTATCCAATAATCTCCTAAAAATCTGACTTGTCACCGCTTTGGTAAAAATGTCTGTCAACTGATCTTCAGATCGAATATTTGGCAATTCCAAAATATTTTTATCAAGCTTTTCCTTGATGAAAAATCTATCAACTTCCACATGCTTCATCCGATCATGTTGGACAGGATTGTGAGCAATGTCGCGTGCAGCTTTATTATCACAATACAACTAAATGGGACGTGTATGTACATACCCTAAATCCTGGAGAAATAGTCTGAGCCACAAACCTTCACAAAGTCCAAGGATCATTCCTCTAAGTTCAGCTTCTGCACTGGATCTAGCTACAACTTTATGCTTCTTGCTTTTCCATGTGACAAGATTACCTCCTACAAATGTAAAGTATCCAGAGGTTGATCTTCTATCATCAAGAGCACCTGCCCAATCTGCATCAGTATAAACCATCACATTTTTGTAGTTGGAGTTCTTCTTGAACATAACTCCTTTTCCAGGAGCAGCTTTTATATACCTTAAAATCCGTATAACAGCATCCATGTATTTTTCACCTGGATTGTGCATGAACTGGCTAACCACACTAAGAGCATAAGCTAAATCTGGCCTAATGTGTGAGAGATACATCAATCTCCCTACAAGTCTCTGATATCTTCCCTTGTTAGTTGGAGTTTGATCTTCTTCAATGCACAACTTCAATCCCTCTTCAATTGGAGAATTTGATGGTTTGCATGTTGTCATTCCAGTTTCTTTTAGTAAATCCAATGCATACTTTTATTGTGAGAGAAAAATACCTGACTTTGATCTTGAGACTTCAATTCCAAGAAAATATTTTAAAGGACCAAAATCCTTCATCTCGAATTCCTTTGTCAAGTACTCTTTCAATGTCTTGCGTTCCTCTAGATCGTTTCCCGTAACTATCATGTTATTAACATAGACAATAAGAATTGTAATCTTTTTTTCCTTTTTCTTTAGAAACAAGGCATGATCTTGGTTGCTCTGTTGGTATCCAAAAGCAAGCATTGACTTGGTGAATCTACCAAACCATGCTCGTGACGATTGTTTTAGACCATACAATGACTTTTTCAACTTGCATACCTTCTTGTTATGTGTATTCGGGATCCTACATCCTTCTGGTAGCTCCATATAAACTTCTTCAGACAATTCCCCGTGTAAGAAGGCATTTTTTACGTCAAATTGTTGTAAGGACCAATCAAGGTTTACAGCTATAGATAACAATACTCGAACTGTACTAATTTTGGCTACGGGAGCAAACGTTTCAGTGTAATCTATTCCATATGATTGTGTGTACCCCTTTGCCACTAATCTAGCTTTGAATCTCTCAATTGTGCTATCTGCATTAAATTTCACAGTATACACCCATCGACATCCTACTGGTTTCTTTCCAACTGGACAATCTACTAATTCCCATGTTTTATTTCTTTGCAAGGATCTCATCTTCTCATTCATAGCATCCTTCCACCTAGAGTCAGCTAAAGCTTCCTGCACACTGTTAGGAATAGATACAGTAGATAATTGACTTATAAATGCAATATTTGAGTTAGACAAATTCTGGTTACAAACATAATTACTCATAAGGTATCTTGTCTTACTGGTGAGGTCAGGATCATAAGTAGGCTTAGGGATACCTCTAATGACACGATCTGACAGAATTCTTTTTTCTATATTAGGTTCTTGAAAGGACGATTGGTGTGGTCTATCATTAGCATCACCAGACAAATTTTCGATCTCAACATGCTCCAAATCTTCCTCATTATGTGGTTGTTGATCATAACATTGTTGCATACTTTCATCATCTCTTGATACAACTTTGTAACTTTCTTTCTCCAATCTGATCTCAATATCAATTTTTTGAGGAACAAAAGTCTGAACTTCATCATAATTCTCCCCCTGAATTTCAGACTCGGGGGAAAAATATAACAAGGTTTCATGAAAAACTACATCTATAGTAGTAAACATTTGCTTGGTTTGTGGATTGTAGTACCGATATCATTTCTGGTGATTCGCATAGCCAAGGAACACACACCTTTCAGCTCTAGGAGACAACTTACTTCTCTAATGCTTGTGTAAGTGAACATAAGCAACACAACCAAAAACTCTATGTGTTAATTCAGCAATTTTAGGACTTACTACTACATATGTAAGTGATTGAAGAGGTGTTTTATACTCAAGAGACCTGGACGGTGTTCGATTGATAGTGTATACTGCATATGTGAGAGTTTCTCCCCAATATATTGCTGGCATGTGAGCTCCAATTAATGCAGCTCGGACCACCTCCAATAGATGACGGTTCTTTCGTTCTGTCACCCCATTCTGTTGTGGAATACTTGGACAAGATCTTTGATGAACAATTCCTTTGGCTACTAAAAAATGTTGAAGTTCTGATTGCATATATTCTCCTCCGTTGTCACTGCGCAGTACCTGAATTTGTGCTTTGTACTAGGTCTCAATCATTTTGCAGAATTTCTGAAATAGTCCTTCAACTTCACTTTTAGACTTCATCAAACATAACCAAGTCATTCGAGTACAATCATCAATAAACGTTACAAACCACTTTGAGCTACCCAACGTTGTAACCTTAGATGGACCCCATACATCAGAGTGAATGATCATAAAGGAAGAGAACTTTTATTTAAAATTAAAGGAAAATGTGTTCTATGACTCTTTACACGTTCACAAACATCACAATAAAAAGTTGAAGTGTCTACTTTTTCAAATACATTTGGAAATAATTTCTTTATGTAACCAAAAGATGCATGTCCTAGACGCTTATGCCATGACCACATATCCTCGCCTTTTCTTACTTCTTGAGACCCTTTTGTTGCTAGCACTTGACCAAGTCTCTTTGAATTTTTTTCTGTCAGGTCCAGGTAATATAACCTTCCTCGCCTAATACTACAACCAATCGTCTTCCTCGTTTGAATATCCTTAAAAACACAAGAGTTAGGCTAAAAAATTACAACACATAAAAGAGCTTTGGTTATTTGCGAGACTGACAATAGGTTATATTTAAGATAATGAACAACAAGGACAGTATCAATATTCAAATTGTTTGAAATAGAGACAGTTCCTTCTACAATAATAGTGGATTTACTACCATTGGTCGTGGATATACTTTTTTGTGAGGAAGGTTTAAGATTTTTAATTTGTCTAACATCAAAAGTCACATGATCAGAACATGCAAAGTCAATTATCCATGCATTATTCAGAACGGTAGATGTGCTTATTAAAGTCTTACCATTAGAATCATCACTACCTACGATTATAGCAAGCATCATGTCTTTGTCGTCCTCTTTGTCAATGGCAGTTACACCAACAGCAGTAGTTGAATTTCTTTTTTAATTCTTCTTCGATGCTCGACTGTGATCCCA